AGCCCTATGGGCGTTGCATGGAAAGAATGGGACCAAAAGTCGGCAGTGCCCCCCCCCCCCCCCCCGTAATCGAAGGTGTTCCGCCGATTGCTTCCAAAGCTGTCAGAACTGTGGGGCACACGGGCAGCTCCAAACCGGTCAGTTGTGAAACAATGTGAGGAAACGCTCATTTTGAAAGGGAGGTGACGTAATGGCGCAGGCTACGCACAATGTGTCGAGATTAGAGAGGAGCTCCAAGGTAATAGCGGCCGGCCGGTTCTTCATAATCACCCATACGCACAGACGCACTACTATAGGAGCCTAAAAAAAAGAACGGGCCTCACTTGGTCGAGAATCGCACCTTCCCCATGCCTATCGACTTTCACTTTTAGCAGTGTGTACTAGTGATGTCAATTACGGAAAATCGTGATACCGATACCAAACCAAATACCAACAATACCTATCCATGGAAAAATACCGCAACCGAACCGACTTGTTAATATGAGGGAAATACCAACTTTTTACCAAATTCTCGGCCTCTTTTACATAAGAGAGGATTCATAAAACCAACAAAATACCAAATGCGTTCGCCTTGAAATACCAAATACCAAGTTGGTATCGGTTTGGTATCGGTATACCAAAAAGTTGGTATCCGATTGACATCTCTAGTGTGTAGGTACCTACATAATTCTTAGAGCTAGAACTGTATACACACATGCTATTTCGCTTTTACGGAAAAAGCTTTTAGTGAGACTTTCAATCAAACAGGCTCAATTACCCTTTAAATGTGGAAATCCACCTTCCCATCTAAATTTGGGAAACTCACGCCGAACACCTGTCCCGCGCCACATCCACAGCTCGTTAGCCCTCGGGCGCTCCCGGCCGACGTTTAGCGTTCAGTGGGTCAAATCCGGGTCAGATTCCCATGACGACACCAGTCCTATTCTCGTGTCCTACCTGGCAGTCGCTGACCGCGCCGTGTCTGTTGCTGGCCACAGCTGGCCCCATTCTACACACTACACAGTCGGGCCTCACACATTGGCCACGAAAGGAACGTCAGTAGTCTAATCGTTATATGGATTCGATTTTATCTGGGCGTTGGCCGGCCCTCGGACGGGCGGTGGCCTAAACGGGGAACACCACAGTTGGCTGGCAGGTGACACGAGAAACAACGTGATTGGTGAACAGAACGGCTGCAGTAACAGACTGATGTTAGCGTGATGAAAATGGAAACGGAGGGGAGTGGATTGGGCACGTGACTGAGGCGCCCCGATCGCGCGGTTTTTGCTTACTCTCGCATTTTAGTACGGTTATAGTTTTTGTGCCGTCCGCCCCTCGTATTGATTTGGTCGGCCTGCACGCAGTGGGTGCTGGGTGGACTGGTAAGTAAACGAACAAATTTTGAAGAAAAAAACACACAAAAACGAGGACTCACAGCGGCTCCAGCGCAAGCTGACCCAGTTATTGCGCCTCTTTAAGGCCGGTCCCGTATCACCCGTATGGTGTGGTTACAGAACAAAAAGTCCTGGTCGAGCCCACGAGGCCGTTATCTTGGCACAAGGCATCTAACGGCCTACCGCAACTGACGATCACCATCCCGGTAACACAGTTACAGCCTTATGTATGCCTCAGGTGCGACACAAACCTACGAAGATGGTTTGAAATGACATCTCTCCGGACAATCGAGGTCGAATGATCATTTACAAAATAACGCGCGTCATGTATAGGTATATGCCTTACCAACTTTGTATGGCTATTACCTATATGTAAACCCGAGCTACATGCAGTAGCGGCGGAACACCTTCAATTAAAAGGGGAGGGGGACACTGCCGACTTTTGGTCCCATTCTTTCCATGCAACGCCCATATGGCCAATTTTGAAATGCCCAAATCAAAGGGGGGCACGGTGCCCCGGTGCCCTCCCCGTTCCGCCGCCTATGGCTACATGCTATGCCAAACAGATTGCACGCAATAGTGATTAAAAACTTTCAGCTGGGCTTACGAGTTACGAGTAAAACAAAACCAACACGGAAAGCGAAGCCAAAGGAGGAGCAGGGGAGTCCCCAGCGCTACACTGCACTAGCTCTCCTGTTGTTCTGATGACGATCAAGTACTGTTACATCTATTTTCGTCCTACGTGTCTTCCAAGGTCACCGCCCCCAATCTGGCCAAACGGACACACACTATGGGAGACAGCGCCTCTGCGCCTGTCAGAGGCAGCCGCCGCCGCCGCCGCCGCCGCCGCTGCCTCCTCGCATTCCACGAACGTTAACGGTACGGGCCATCCCGCCGAGTCGACTGACCTACCCCACCAGTCACTGCCACAGCGAGCGGGCGGGCGGGCGGGCGGGCGCGACCGCCTCTCCGCTCCGGGTGAGCCGAAAAAGTGACACGAATGGCGGCCGGACCGGCAGATAGGGGGAGGAGGGAAGATGCGAGAGATACAGCAGCCATTTCACCAGCGCGGCGTCGAGCGTACCGAAGATAATGGATACCAGATAACTCGGAGCCTAGCTTATTGTAATGCTAATTGATGCCAGAGCGAGTTTCATTTCAACGTTCGCTGATACGATAAAATGTCCCTTAGATCGGTGATATGATATGAACGGTTTAGCAGTAGGTGTGCACTATGCATTATGCAAGGTATAATGCCGTAATAAATTATGGCCGAAAATTGTAAAAATCGAAATGAAATCAGTTCAGTTCAGCGCAGAAAAAGCATTCAGCGTCGATGTTTTATCGTGCATAGGTAATCGATGTGATGGACTAGTGACAGCAGCAGCTGCAGCTGCACAGCAAACAAGTTCAATACGTCGCGACTGTCTGGCGCCAATCCATTCCCAGTTCCCACCCTTCCTTCTGCCGCTGAACAGTTTTGTGCTGCTGATCAACAAGAAAAGCTACACGATCATATAATGAGGCATTCTTTGTCATTAAAACATACACAAAGCGAATGACATTGGGCGTCGGCCAGTGGCCGGCGCCCGGCAGATGTTCGGTGCAGGTGGCCGGGTCGTGCAGCCTCTGATGACGAATGCAACACAAAAAGCTCGCTATTACTGAACGTCTGCACTCGTAATAATGAGGCTTGCGTGACCAAAAAGAGGAATGGGGTGGGGAGCGGACCGGAAGCAGGCAGACTCCCGGGGGAAGCCGGCGCTAGAGTCGCGACACACGGGCTTTGTTCGTTGCCGCCACCGGCAGTCCTCGTATCGATTCAGACGTGGAACGCGGCCGGTGGGACGTGCAGTGCGAAATTTTAGTGGGCAGCCCTGGCACTGTCAAGGCTAGTCTGAAGTCTAGCAGAAAGCTAGGGTTGAAAAATATACGATTACGTACTCCATTTATAGCGCTTCCAAAATACTCGTTAAAAACGGTAGCATTCAGCTTCCCAGCAGCTCCCACATCCTTCCAGCCTCATCAGTCGTCACCTTCCCCTCTGACAACCCGTTCAGTCGGCTGACCTTGTGTCCGTCTGGACCCGGCCTGTGCCCATGACCTTCACTTTTGTACAAACAGGCTTTCGGGGTGTTTCATAACCGTGCGCCGCCTGGGGTCGACCGAAGCCATGACGTGGAGGTTGAATTACGATAATCACCGTCCTACCACCACCAGACGCTGGGGAGGGGTGCCGCGAGGGGCTGAGGAGGGTGTCTTGGGAGACCTCTGAGGGCTGGGGAGGGTATACCGTGGGAGACCTCTGAGGGGCTGAGGAGGGGTGTCGTGAGGGGAGCTGCCGTCCGCTGCCGAGGGCTGTCCAACGCGCTCCGCCGCCCATAGCGACACAGGAACATCGGTACGGCTGGACCGTCCCGGTCCGACCGGCCAGGCTCCTATTTCGACACCGAATGGGGTCAATGACGGCCCTGCACCCGCAGAACACCGCGCCAAATTCACGATCGTTTTCAGTGTCTGTACAGCTTTGCATATTTCCCGTCCAAATGACCAATCTATCGTGTTTTTAAATTTCAGAAAGAGCTTCATATATACCAATGCGATCTTGTCCAAATCTTGGTTTGCCGAATCAGACACTATCAAACGCCATTCCCAATTTGATGAAATAGACAGTAGACACCTTGTCACCCAATTTAACGGGTAATCAATCGCTGCTCCGCTACCCTAGCGATACTCATAGTTTGTTTGCCTCACCTTGTCCTATTTCCTCTAAAATTGCAGCCGTGTTCTAGGTCGACCTGTTTTGTCCACCGTCTAGCCTCTCTCACTCAGACACTCTTGACAGGAGAGCCACGTTATTTTGTTCGACCTCGGTAACCAGTCGTACCCGGCGCACTTTTTGTCCCTTGTTTGTCTCGGTCAGCGAGGCATTCATCTGAGCTGACCTCCAGCTTGAGCACGCTCTCTCTCTCTCTCTCTCTCTCTCTCTCTCTCTCTCTCTCTCTCTCTCTCTCTCTCTCTCTCTCTCTCTCTCTCTCTCTCTCTCTCTCCCCTCCCTCTCCCCCCTCCCCACCTATCTACACTGGCGAGCATCAGCTACCCCTAATCCAGCACACACATTTGCTAACGGCACCTGCTCGCTATCACATTGTGCCAACAGAAGGCACCTGCCTTTCCGGCTGTTGTGAGGTAACAGTTTTATCGCCTCCAACGGCCGTCGGACGCGGGGTAACAAAACCCACCCCAGCGCAAAGCCGTGGTACAGTTATGGTTATTGGTGTGAGGACATGGCTTCAACCTCTGACCGATTTGAGCCACTTCATGGCTCAACGACAGAAAACACCAAAGGTTTCTGTCGCTGACTGAGTCCGAGACTGAGTATGAGTCTGAGTCTGAGTCGCTGTAAACACGCACTGAGATGAGCGATGAGCTGGCTAGCACAGAGCGATTACGAAACTTTCACATCCAATAATCGCCTCGCAGAGAAAGTAACCCACGCATAAGCGAGACCTCATGCAGTATGCATGGGAATAAGGATAATCACCCAGCCGAATAGGTGTCTCAAATAAGACACATTCGTATGTAAATTATATGCTCTATAAATAGTACAATTCAAAGGTGGCTCACCTGGTGCGATCGAGGCGATTGGTGAGCTGCGCCTTGACCTCTGCCTGCTTGTGTTCGAGAGTGGACGACTTGTGAGATCGGTGAGAGGAGAGGATGCAGTCGCCACAGCCCACCGTTTGACATGTATCACAGTAGTTGTCGTACGCCTGTCGGTGGAAGGGTGGTGAGTCAGGGAGTCAGTGAGGTGGTGAGTCAGGGAGTCAGAGAGGTGACGAGTCAGTGAGGGGTGGGGCGTTGGTAATTGGTTTTCGGGGAACGGTAGCCGGTGTGGTGGGGAGAACAACTGTTGGTCCTCCCCTTCCGGGAAAATCGGAAGACCCTAAGTAAGTTGCAATTTAATTTGTTCTTATTTTTATTTAATCTTATAACAAAGATAAAGCAATCACGCCTACTTTGTAACTTTCTGACGAAAAAAAACAGGAACAATAATTTGATTATTTTCTGTTTGCTATAAAAATAGGTGATTGGAAATTGTTGATTTAATTGTCATAAAATAAGCTACACTTACAATTTACATGATCTTATCTGAACTACATTTATTTTTTTTACACCGTTTATGCTTTCTTTGGTCAAGCACGTTTTCCGTCCCGCACCGCCGTCTCGCTGCTGGCTTCCATCTGGCCCTGCTCCGAAAATAGCCAGACGCAGACAGTCGCCCTTGACAGAGCCAAGCCTGACGCAAAAACCTGTCTGTCCCCGACCCATTAACTGTTCACTCACTTTGCGGTGTTCAGGACATCGCTGGTGCGCCGAGTCGTCATTGTAGGCCGTTATTGAGTGGTCCCACGTGAGCTTTGTTTGATTATGTGCCTGTGAATAAAACAAACGAAGTAGTAATCACAAAGTAATATCAGAGAATTGACGCTTGGCATATGTGTTCTTGGGAGTACTTTTGTCATCACTTCTGTTACAATTACGAGTAATGCGTTTAGATAAAGGGGAGCTACGAAAGCAATTAATGGTGCACAATTATCTGAAATAGTTCCTACAATTGCACTGTCAGGCGGGCGTCACTACCTACACCGTAATGCATCGGGTGCAGGTCTGTTCCTGTGACAGCGGTAAGCCTCAGCCCGAGATCTCGTCCCGTGCTGAGAAGTTGATCCGGTATTATCATCCACCCAACCCGAGATCGAGCAAGATAAACGAACAAAGACGCAACGCGAGATCTGTCCCGCCCTTTGACCGACACAATGATCGTGTCACCGACTCGGCGATACACATTACACACCGGTCATCGGGTACAGGTGTCCTCGGAGACTTCCTGTCCTGCCCCGCCCGCAGAGGGGAGGAGGTAGCCCGGGGAGGGGAGGGGAGGGGAGGGATGGCGACGCTTCCTTCCGCCGCGCGGCCGTTTGGGTCCAGTCAGCTGTCCTGCTATGCGCTCCTAGCCCGGGGCGGTGGCTGAGCGGCGGCGAAAAACGGTCGGACGGTCGGACGGTCGGACGCGGTCGGCCGGTCGGGCGGTCGGTCGGTCGGGCGGTCGCGGTCGGTAAAGGACCGGGTGGGGACTGGGGAGGGGCAGAGTGCGAGATAAGTGGGGCGAGATGTCAGAGGAAGGACGGAGGGCAACGGCCTACGGTCGAGAGTGAGACGACCCCCGTGGTGACCGAATAGGATAGTGTTTGTCATGGCCCGGGTCGGTCCAAAGGCACCTTCCCAGAGGCGCGCAGGCTCTCATATTTGAATCGGGGAACGATGAAGAACAGGGGTCAGGTGTCTCATTACTTCTCATAACTGGCTGATCGTATCAAAATGATATGAGGACATGATCAATTGATCACTTCATTTGATAAAACTTGCTAGGCTCCTAGACAAACGCAGCTATGCGTGCCGAAAAAGTTCATTCGTATCGTCGCGATCGCCCGCTGGAACTGCCACCCGTGACATCATGCCGACGCGCGTGCAAAATGCTTATATAACAATGAACTATTCAGTGGTCTGGAAATGGGCACTGATGTAAACAAAAGTGATACGCGAACTGATCGCGCTAAAAGGATAGACAAGAACAGGTGGACAAAAAAGACAAAAACAGTCGAGATAAATTGACAAAAACTTCTTCCTAAAAAGTTGTTTGGTTTTCTTTCTAAGCGAGGAAAAGATCAAAATTTCGTCAGTTTCGGATGCTACTGGAGGAGCCAATGGCCCATATGCCTTCCATCCCCACCTTCGATCCGCCATTGACTGTGCGCATAGCTCCGATTATTTAGGTTCAAATTCCATCTGCCCTCGCTCGGGTGGCAGGAGCTGAGCAGTTGCACGCTCGAGCTACGCAGTAAATCAGATGGTCCGTGGTGAACAGAGCTCTGACCCGGCCGGCCGGCCGGCGCGGGGCGAGGGGGATGGGGAGGGGTAGTAGGGTGTCTGATCGGTCACATGGTCTGCCCTCCCGTCGGCACGTCCGGTCCCTGTGACGTAGCCCGGTCTCTCGCTTAGCTACAGCCTTATACGGTCCCGTCGGCAGCAGCGGTGCATCTGGTCAGTCTCAGCTGGGACAGCCACACCCAGAATGACATACCCACTCGCTAGAGTACAATCAAACAGTGCAGCGGTTCGGGCGCGCCACATTCTCCGCCCTGTCCACATTTAATATACGACCAACTCTGATTTGTTTGTTTGTTTTGTTGGGTTAGGCCCTTTCGGTCGACAAGACCATTGCAGAGCCGGAAGGATGATAGGAATTAGGTAGAGACATTGGTCTGGGCAGGCACCCTAGAGAGTCGCCGGGGCTGAGCCCGTCCATAGGACAGGCCGACCAGCCCCCCAAGCACTCTCTGCACCCGGCTACGGGGTGCAGCTCCCTCGGGAGCAGCGGTGCCGCCCCAAGGGAGCAGCCCGCAGGAGATAAAGTTGCCTGTCCAGCCCGGAAGGGGGTTGTGGCGTGGAGGAGAAGGATTTCAGTATCCTGAGGATAGAAGCACGGATAGGTGGGGGACCAACTCTGATATTAGGACAGGTCTCCACCTGCCTAGAAACGGACATTGGAGATTGGAGTCCGCACTCCGCCCCCACTTACCCTAAGCATACAGTCAGGCAACGGGTCCATTCCATCCATCCCTTTCAGTACGTCCCCCTCACGCTTAGTAGTCGGCTGGGGGATCCGTCCAACCTGTACCCCGATACATCTCACTAACAGGTCCCCTCACTCTCCGTACCACTCACCTCAATACAATCCTGACAGAGCTCTGTGCAACATTCTGCACATGCGCCGGCAGCGATCGCCTCTCGGCCCCGCTCTCCGCACTGGCCGCACAGCCGGCTGCACTGTTGCACGTGCTCCCGTTGCAGCAGCTCTTCCACCAGGGGATGATCGAGCACCTCGGCTGACTTGGTCATACACAGGCGGCACTGGAACCCGTCTGGCGGCGGGAGAGGGGAGTGAAGCTCGGCGGTCAGCTCGGTGTGCACTGCAGGAAGGACGAGCGCAGACCAAGAAAAATTTAGGCAGAAGATAACTATTGCGTGTTGATTGCAGAAGATATTATGAGTTGCAGTGAAATTGACCTCTTTTTTGCTAGATGCGTCCATAAGAGCATTCATATAACCGTACATATCGGCGACTTTTTACGTCGAGATGGTAGATAACGGATCTCTAAAATATAGGTGTGCATCGATCTTTTGTCCTTCTACATTTTCATGGAAAAAGGCCAATAAAGTTGTTTTAAATATGTTACGACTATCTCATTGGTCTGTACTTTACTATAGGGTTAACTATATGATAATCATTGAAAACCTTTACTGCGATGTGGGTACTGAGCAAATCGACAAACTGACTGCATGACATGTTCCTGAGCCTAACTGCATTACTCGAGCAACTGTAGTTGCACATGTCGGGCTATTTGAAGCAGCTCTACAACTGGAGTATCCTGATCATATTGTAGCTAACACACTCATATGTACCTATAGCGGAATAACCAATAAACAATAATAAAATACTGAGAAAGCGCGAATGACATAGGTAAATCAAACGAGTCGGAATTCCTAACTCTTTCGATTTGATTTAATCTATTATAGTCGCAGCTGTTTTCCACTATTCTACCTACTCGAGCTTTGAAATCCTGTTGCCTCTATAATTTAGAAATGTCGTAGCCTATCTCAGATCTTAAACGCTTTTTTACTCATAAGGGCGGTTTAATCGAGTGAAAATTGTCTGCCTCTATTTGAACGGGAAACGTCAAATTTGGACATAAACGACCCACATTATTTGGTTATTTTGGAAACGGACCGCTTCCAATTAATTTGGATTCCTTACATAACGCTTCTCAAAACTGGTTTAGAACTACCGAAGCGCGATAAGCGGGACACGGCCCGACACTCGAGCAGCCCACATTGCAACAACGGATGTTGCAACATTGGCAGGTTACGCTGGGGACAACGTCCTATATGCAGTTATACACGTTGAGCCTCGACAGCCGCACTGGCCGACCCAAGTGAGGCGTTTGGGGCATCAACTCCTCCCACAGTGGTCAAAACTCAAAACTGATGAAATTCTGCCTTTTCCTTGCATTGCATACGACTACTTCCGCGACCTGCTGGGGGGGGAGGGGGGGGGGCAGAACCTGACCTCTAGATTTCGCCAATAGCTTCTAAGCGCTTAGAGCCAGCGACGGTTAACTTACAGTACCTTATCAATTCATACATCAATTTGACATGTACGTACCCTGAAAATCTGAGCGAAATCCTTTCGAAAAAGTTGTAGGAAAATGACGTTTAACCCGCGCCCCGTTGGGCTCTGCCGAGCAACGCGCCCTGTTGGGGGGGGGGGGGGCAATTTGCCCCCCCCCCCCTAAGATCTCGAGAACCACGCAACCTAGCGACAAGCGGCAAACGGTGTTGGATAGCCCTATCAGGGAACTACCTTGTGACCCAATTTTATTGACCTAGGTCAAACCGATGACGTCACAGGTCAGGTCAAAGGTCGAATTTTCACCGTTTACAGGCATTTCAAGAAATGCGTTGTAAAATCGAGTAAATGCATTTCATTGAAAATCATCGATGGGGAAATGTTCTTCAAACACATATTTTGCTATTTGAGGTCACTGATACCAGGTCAGGTCACAGAGGTCAAGTCACTGGGGGGTCACAATACGAAAGTGTCGTGTAATATATGTTTTATGGTCCATTTTACATGCCAAATGCGATTATGTGGGTCAGGCAGCCTTTGGGGTCAGCTTAGGTCACATTTTGGCCAAGGTCAGGTCAAGGTCAAGTCAAATTAGGTCAAATTTCAAAGTTGATATTTTTGCACAAAATGGGCATCGATTCGATGCAGCTCGTCACGGGGAGTTCAATGGTGGTCTTTGTTTTGCCCTACATGTTCTAGAATCGCTAAAAACTGAGTTAAAAAATTTGACGTCATCATTTTTGAACAGTTTTTTCGCTATAACTTGGCCAAAAAACGAGATATCAATCTGAAATTTGATATGTGAAGAGCGCAGGGACTATCACATATATTACGGGTTTTTCGAAATTCGGAATTATTTTGGATTTTTTTAAGTTTTTCAAAAAAAAAATCAATTTTTTGAATTTTTAGGGGTCAAAAACCCAAAATTTTGAAAATCCGAGATAGCAATTTTGTAGCGCCGCTTCTTGTCTACTAGACCATATAAAGAACTTTGAAATTGCTTGGTAACTGTAGATTTGGTGAGCGTTTCAAGATTGCATGTTTTTTTGCTCATTTTTGCTCGAACATGACCTCAGTTTGACCTCAATAACTCCTGACCTAAGGTGACCTAAGACTTGAAATTTGGTGTGAAGGTGTCAAATTGATGCCCGGGAAGGCACTGAAAATTTGGCGGCACTGCGCGCCGCCGTTTTCTTGCTATTCGGGAAAAACCACAGGGGGGCCAAATTGGCCCCCCAACGGGGCGAGGGTTAATAGACGTCATGTCACGCCATTTTCGCATCGAAACTGTAAAAATTCAAACGCCTTTAACATATCAGTTTTTCCTTTTTAAGGAATCAAGATGTAACAAAATACTTTATGCGTAAGTTCGCTTTGTCTTTTGAATGAAAATATGGGATTTTTGAAAAGTAGGGATTTTGGCCCAAAATTCTAAAGAAAAAAACTGACGGGAAAATCAATAAATCAACATCAGTCCATTATTCGCCAACTGTGCTCCAAAACCGAAAATGTAGAAACTTGCACTTTGTACCCTTGACCTGACCTGACCTCTGATCTAACTACTTAGGCAAAAAAGGTTCCAAAAAAAGGTTTCCTCTTGTCGAGAGCTTTCGATTGCCGTTATTTCAGTCTTTCTACGAGTATCGGTTCGGAAGGTAGACAGGAGGGAAGAGGGCAGAATCGCCCCCCCCCCCTCCAGCAAGGCGCGTATGGCTGAATAGCCTAGCGGGACGTGGGTTAAAAAAAAAACGCACAGCAAGGCGTAACAGGTGAAGTCCGAGGAGTTTATAATTAATGGAGCACCTTTTAGAGGAGTACTCCGCCCCCGCAGCTCTCAAACTACTTTCACGGATCCGCCAATAGTCAGCCGCAAGGACGGTACACAGGTAAACGTTGCAAGAAAGCCGACTGTCTTGTTACGTCTTAGATGTTGATTATGTAAAGACATGGTTGCACTTTGAGGGTTTCGGTGGTACAAAAAAAAAAACATTTTCATAAAAATATTTGTTGCTCTACCGAAAACCTTTCAGCACAACTACGCCCTATAAATTTACATCGATTTCACCATGAAGCGCAGCTAACTGGTGGTAAAATGAACACTAAACGTGATGCAGGATTTGATAGCAGTACACAGCTCTGGTAATACAGCATCCAGAAAACTTCACCCCCGTAACAAAGTATTCCGGGCACGGCAGCTATCCACCGTCGCGCGCAGGGTTGTAGTGACGGTCTTTTCTTTATCTTCAACGAACTTAAATCAAAGCTTATCTTTACACCCATGACCTCGGGCGCTCTAAAACTAGAAATCCTTACACGATGCTAATATGGGATAGGTACATACATGGATTGGTTCGCTTGTTCTTCAAAGAGAGTCCATAATAACAATGAGCATACAGTTGCTAACAAGCACACACAGTCGAGCAAAGAAATAATATGAAGCCACAAACAAGGCCCAAATCCACAATGTCATCACAGTCAAACCACCCGTCGCAATGTGCAGCTGACACCGCTATTGAACATCATATTCTAGACACCACACCCCTGTCCCCTCCCGCCCCTTCCAGCGCTGGGTCAGTCCGCCAACACGGGCCGGAGCCGAGACGATCTTCTGTTCGTCGCCACTCACCAGGGTTGCTGCTGAGATTGCCGGCGCAGCTGCCACACACTGTGTGCAGACAGCCGGGCAGCAGCCGTGGCGTGTGCTCTCCGTGCAGCAGCTCCAGGTCGCACGAGGAGCAGCTGAGCAGCCCCTTGGTGCGCGGAGCGCTCAGGGGCGCCGGTTCCTCGCTGTCGCGGCGGCCGGCCGAGCCGCCCGGCGCCGGGCTGCCGGCGGCCGCTGCGGCCGGCTCTGTCTCGCTGGGAGCGCTGACGATCATGGTGACGGGAGCGCCGGCCAGGCGCGCTCCTGGGGACGCCCGTCAGACGCTCCTGCCAGCTCCTATACCATGAGGACCACGGGCGGCGTCAGAGACGGACCAGATGGTCTACCGATGGAGACCGATAGGACGGCGAGCAGCGGGACTAGGAGACTGAGAGGCCGAGTGGGATTGAGTCAGGTTATCTAGCTTCAATGGAAAAGGAGCAGTAAAAAGGGACTGATTAGGATACAAATCTCACACTTCGATAAATTTAGACGATCGAAATGTGCTTGGTAATGCTTAATAAGCATCTCAGTGACTCTCACCATCATTCAATGAACAGGACATGGGTGAAATGAGGCATTTCACACTGCTTTGAGAGCATGGGCTTTCTCATTTGTGCAGCTGTTCAATAAGAAAGATTTGAAATTTAAATGCATTTGCATGTCATCACATAACGTCGCGTTCTTCGCCTTGCCGGCAATAAACATACCTAAGTATGGTCAGACGAAATTAAACGAGTCCAAGTGGGTAGACGACTATTATGCTTGATAAAGATCATCTCATGCTTGGTAAAGCATTCGTGCGTCTCTTGCTGATAAATGTTTGATAAAGGTAATTGACAAGTCATTCAGTCGATGGGAAAGTTTCCTGTCTGATGCAACTGTTCAAGTGTTTTGTTTGTATTCTTGTGCAATTTATATACGACGATGACTGACGATCTTTGGCCCACGTGTGTCGGTGACTGTGTAACATCTGTGCGATGGACACTTGATCCCACCACCGATAAAGAGGCGGGAGAGGGATTTGAAGACGAACGAACAGATATAAGTCGTCCTCAACATTTGATCTTTTGATCCTACCTAAGGTGAGCTTTTAAGTTGATAAGATAGACTAAATTGTGAATCATAGGATCAGAGAGCGTATCTATCTTGTTCGGAGGATGAAGATCAGAGAGAGGATGAGGACGAGGATGAGGATACATAGAGATTAGAGGGTGTTCATTGTTCGTACCGGTGCATCTTCCCCATACACAGTCTTCAATCAGCCCTATCACATCAACTCCTATTCCCCTCTTTCTTACTCCTACTCTATCTCTCCTCATCCCTCCTTGTCTTTCCCTGTACCTGTTGTTCTGTTCTGTTCGGTTCGGTACTGTTCTTTCTTTCATTACATCTCCTTCTAGTCTTCCTTTTTAGCTCTTTCTCAGTTGCTCCCGTAACACCTTTCCCGCATTCTCCCATACTTTCAGGTCAATGTCTCTCTTCTTTTTACAATTCTGGGCATCTCTAATCGCAACTTAACTCCTTCGAAAGAAATGGCATTTAGCGCTCATTTTTTCGTATCCTTATCCCGCACTCTTCCTAAGCCGCACGGTCTACTATTATTTACTCCTTCCCATCTTCTCGCTTGATTCTAAATCCATTTCTCTTCTTTTTATCTCACTTTCTTCGTTTCATTTCCCTTTTCCTCTCACCCTCTGTTATCCTTTTTACCCCATCCACTGTTGAATTGTTTAACATTTCTTCTCTCGTCTACAGATTTGGAAGTTTTTTTTTTCTCCTCTACCTTATGCTTTCGATTACCTAACCAGTTTTGCCCGAGCTATCGTCATCCGTCAGTCACAGTATTCGAGTTGGTGATAAGCTTTAACTGTTCAATCGAAATAATATATTGTTGCTCTATGCGCGAACATTCACTACTTTTCAAAATGTATTTACCTTAAAACATACCTATAGTACCTACCTATACCTATACAAAACTTATGGCGTCATACCGGCTTTTATAGAATAAAAACATCATTATATTCTTCGAAAACGTATCCATTCAAAGCCCATGTTTCTCGCTGGAGCACCACACCATTACTCTACAATCCATTCGAGATGGTCGTTTCAGTCGGTCGGCCAGTTCCTCTCTCTCGGCCGTTGACCGCCCCCGGGCGTTGGCCTGTTGGCGGAGGTCCAAGTGGCGGCCCGAGGGCTGGGCGCCGAACAGCCACCAACCCCAGCTGCCAGCGCCATCGGTGACAGCTAGACCGGTGCACAGCGAAAGTCGACAATCTAGGCCGCCAGTGGCACGTAAAGTAATCTTGAGAGGCACAGGCCTGAGGATGGCTGGTATAGAGGCGCTACACGTAAATAACGCCCCCTCCTCAAATCCATATCCACGCTTCTCGACTAGCGAAAATAAAGCGAAAAGTAAAGGCAGCCGAATTAAGGATATTTCATTTTTTCATTTCTCAAAAATATGATGGTAATAATATTTCTTATCATACTAAATACAATGAAGAGGTATCTGAATAGTTAATCGAGTCATCAGCAAAATAATTAGCTTGAACAAACTCAGCCTGTTGACCAAGCTCGAAGTCAATATTCAAAGCCGGTTTTTGAGTGAGGCTGGTTTTTGAGTGAAGCTGGTTTGATATTGAAACCGGTTTTTGAGTGGAAACGGTTTTTGGTAGAGCTAGTTTTTTATGAGACCATGTTTTTTTTTTTTTTGGTAAGGCTGCTTTTGGAATTCGCCCAAAACCAGTTTCGAGTATGCTTGCTGATGGGTTCCTTATAGTCAGTTCAAGTATCAAGAGCCGATAACCGTTAAGTTTTGCTATTCAAAATAATATTTTCTGACAGATGAGTCTCACGCGCTCCACTTATTCAGTATGCACTATGCAGTACTCCCATGCCAGCAGGGGCCAGATTCGAATAGCTCACAGAAATTCGACGCATACAATTTCCATATCTAAGGTTCAAGGATAGCATTGGTAAGCTAGAACAATCACGTGGTAACCGTGCAGCCCAGTTCCAGGCATTGCGTAACCCTCACACCATCTAACCGGTTGCCAGACGGCCAAGAGCAGAATGATATCTTATGTGCATTTTGCAGTGTCTGGACGCGCACGAAACCAGTCTTGCACCAGAGTCGAACTTTTGAGTTTTGTTCACAAGTGCCACTTTCAAATTCCAATTTCTAAATTTCCAAATTTCAAAAGAACCGAAAGCAGTCATGCCTGTCGTTTTAAATAGGCAATAACCCGCGCATGACTGGGGCATTTTCCATAACGCGGCTGATGGGGGGGGGGGAGGGCTCTACAGTGCCCCCTCTCCTATCTCCGAAACTACTCGGCCGATCGTCAAAAATTTAAACAGCGTTTGACAGTTTGGCTTGTTCACAATTTAGGCTCTGGCTGCCGGCTAATAAGTCCGATCAGGCTCATTTTTAGTTAACGCGCTCCTTGATATATGTCCTAGATACCGTGATGGTACTGAGCCTGTATTTCAAATTTCTCAGGTTAACCCGTGCCCTGGTGGGGTCTGTTTATAACGCGACCTGGTGGGGGGGGGGCTATTTTTTGCCCCCCTCGTATCTCCGAAACTACTGGACGGATCTGCAAAATTCAAACGGCGTTCGAAAGGCCTGTCAAATTTGTCGAAGGAAACCAAATTTCATTGACCTCGGGGTCACCGGTGACGTCACAGGTCAGGTCAAAGATGAAATGTTTCACCGTTCACGGGTGGGTCTTCTAGGGAAAGCGTTATAACACCGAAGAAAACGCATTTTGTGGAGAATCAGCGATAAGGCGTCAGTTGCCTAGTACATATGTTGCTATAAGAATTAAGAGGTCACTGACAATACAAGGTCAGGTCACAGGTCAGGTCACCAAGGGTCACAGGTCAGGTCACATGAACCTAACTTTAGGTATTAAGGTTGTGCGATGCATGTTTTATGACCAATTTTTCATTTCCAACTCAATGGTGTTGATTATAAGACTATCAGGTACGGCTTAGGTCACTTTCTGGTGAAGTGCAGGTCAAGGTCAGGTCAAGGTCAGGCCAAAAAAGGTCAAATTTTAAAGTTGATAGTTTTGCATAAAATGGGTATTGATTCGATGCAGCTCGTCACGCGGAGTCTAATGGTGGTCTTTGTTTTGCGCTACGGGGTCTAGAATTGCTAAAAATTGAGTTTGAAAATTTGACGTCATCAATTTTGAACAGTTTTTTCGCTATAACTTCGCCAAAAAAAGAGGTATCAATCTCAAATTTTGTATGTAGATAGAAGGCGGCAAGGACTATCACATATGTTCCGTTTTTTTAAATTAAGAAAACTTTTTGAAATTTTCGGCTATTATATTCAAAAAATATATTTTTGGATTTTTGGGGTCAAAATCCAAAAATTTCAAAAATCTGAGATGGCAGTTTTGTAGCCCTGTCAATTCTACAGCTTTTATGTGTTAATCGTTTTTCTGTATTTGCAAAGCTATAGGCCTGACAGCTCTTCCCGCGAAACCCTTTTTTGGGTCGAAAACGGCAGAACATGACGTCACTCTGACGTCATTTCCGGCCAACCTATCATAGTCTTTGGAAAAATTTTGGTCACAATGTGTAAAATTGATGTCCAGGAGGGTACTGAAAGTTTGGTGACGATCGGCGCAGCGGTTCTGGAGATATATCGAAAAGTCTGGAGGGGGCAAAAAATAGCCCCCCCCCCACCAGGGCGCGGGTTAACCCTCGCCGGACCTATTGGTTTTCTACATACGCGCCGGCCGAGGGGGGGGGGGGCGGGTACGACCCCCCCCTCGCCGTTTCGCCCCTGGTGGAGCTAGCGCGTCGCGGAAAAAACGAGCGTGTGCGCCGTTACGAGACGCAGAGATTGGTACCCGATTTTAAGGTCCTAGGTCAACCGGTGACCTCTGAGGTCAGGTCAAGTGCCCCAAGGTACGGTTCAGTTTTTGGTGAATAACTTCACAAAAAACGGCCGCAGAGCGCCGATTTTGGCAGCATCGTGTTCGTCTCGCTCAGGCGCGTCGAATGATATACTTTTTGTCCGGGTCAGGTCAACTTGGGGTGTTGACCTCAGGTCAAGGTCAGGTCAGCACCCCCAGGTCACGAAGTTGGTCGAAAGAGGTCATGTCGCATATCATTCGATTTGGCAGGTCTTTCTGAGTCCATTGGTGACTTTCCCGACTCGCTAGCTCAATTTGATCAAGAGTTATTGACGAAAAACTAATATGACCTTGATGACGTCATAAATGACGTCACGCAAGGTCAACATTGCAAAGGTGACGCATCTAACCTTGCAAGGAGTGCATCAAATCACGATTCTGTGTGCTTGAGATAGTTGGAGATCGTTCCCGGCGCCAGAATAGCAGTTTGAATTTTCCCCCATTGACTTATAATGGTGAGGTCACGAAAATGACCTGACCTCATATGACCTTTAGGAAAAATCCGAGATATACAAGTTGTGGGACTCATAATGGATACTAGATCCTGCAAGTTTCATTTCCCTGTGACATCTCCTCTGGCAGTGAGGGCGTTGCGAAGTTGCGACATCTGAAGACCGTGCAGAGGTTCACTTATGACGTCATAGGTCAGTGACCTGACCGGACCCAAAAATGCGGTTGGTGTCAAAAGAACCGGCTTGGATCAAAGGTCAGGTATGCCAAGTTTCAGCTCTCTATCGCCAGCGTGTTCGGAGCTATCGCGAAAAAACCCTATGGGGGGGCGGCACCCGCCCCCCCCCCCCTCGGCCGGCGAGGGTTAAGGCAAGGTCATCCTAGGTCACGAAAATTTTATATCATGTATCGGTCACGTGACACATGTTTTATGGTCCATTTCAGCCATATATTTCGAAAACAGTGTCGTCTGTGTCATTTGAGGCCATTATTAGCGGACAATCGCTGAGTTCAGGTCACTATCAGGCCAAAAGGTCAGATTTTGAGGTTACAATGTTTCAGACAAAAAAAAAGATGTCTATCAGATGCCGTTTGAGCTCAGGAACACGATGATGCTTTTATTTTGCGGTGCAATGTCAAAAACGTACTGAAAAATTGATTTTAAAAATTGAAAATGGTGAAATCTTGACAACAAAGTTCATAAAGCCAGCTATTTTTTTAAGATATCGGGCTAAAACTTCATTGAGTAGATCATTTCTATCCCATAGATTTAGTTTTTTTTGGAAAATTAAAAAAACAAAAATGATTTTTTTTAAATTGTGATTTTGTAAGAAAAAGTTTCAAAACATTCAAAGTTATGGAAATCTTAGATGACAGTTTGATATCCCTGTCTATTTTGAGTCCTTTCATGCAAATGAACTGGATCTAGCTTTAAAATGGAGCTCTCGAGTGCTACTGGCGTAGCTCAATGTTTTGCATCAAAATCGGCCGACATGACGTCACTCTGACGCCATTTCCAGCCGACCAATGGTAGCTTCGAAATTTTCCTTTGGACAAAGGGTGTCAAATTGGTGCAGCCGAAGGAACAGCAAGTGTCGTGTTGATGCGTCCAGTGTTTTAGAAGATATTGCAGAAAAACGGGAGGGGCTCTGTAGAGCACCCCTCCCTCAGGCGCGACTTTGAATGAAAGTTAACCTAACGGAGAACGGGTGCCAAGATGACGGGGGGGGGGGGATAAAAACGTCCATAACAGCGCGGTTTAATGATGTGGCTATTTATTTATCTATTTATGTATTTATTTATATATTTATTTATTTATTTATTTAAGCGTACAAGAGCGTTCACCCAATCTGTAGCCTTTCAGCCGAGATAAATGTGGAATAAATGGACATGTTAGGTACTGTGGAAGGAGAGGAAAAAGGATAGGGAGGACTGGACGATGTAATTACAAATCCTTGAGTGCTGATTTGTGCTCTATAAGTTCGTTTGATGCATTCTGTTATTAAATGAGCACGACTTGCAGTTTAGCTACATGCACACAATGGCACCAATCAACTAAACCATCAGTTCCAAACTTCATCTCACTCCTGACCGTCTTTTCCAGTGTCACGTCTTTGATGTCTTGTTTACTCTTGTGAGCATTGCCACAATTGTTATCGTAGAAACTCATCTGAGTACGTAGGACTTGGATTGGGATACAAGGACAATCCAACCATTTTTTTTTCAGGCTGGAGGAAGTGAACCTACTCGTATATGGTGAGGTACTTCGTCTCACGGGCTTCTCTTGGATACTGCTTGAACAGAAAGAAACACACTATCAATGTTGAGCAATCGTGTCGGTAGCTCATCCAGTATTCACCGGCAGCTCTCTGGATCCGCATATCCGTCCACCGGGGTAGTATACAAAACATATCCCACATCATACGTCCACTTAGGTCGTATGCACTATTACATGGCTTGTACGATAGGCACCACAAAGCCCATCATAGCTTTGACATCTTAGTAGGTTCCCTTCTCAGTCCCGGTCGTATTTTCTCAACTTCTTTGTTACCTTTGTGCTCCATTTCACGAGGACTTTCCAACTTCAAAGTTTACACAGCTTGCCGTCTGACATACACGAGTAGGTGCCTCATCTTCTCCATGCCTTGCTATAGGAATCAATAGCCGTCATACATTGCTCTCTTGCATGCATTGCATATCTATGCCACGAATATCATCTTCTCACATGCGAAGGACTGCAGACAATGATCAGGATAGAATTATGATGGTAATGAGGGAAAAGAGGCAGTCACAGTCATGTGCTGGTGATGTGCCGAAGTCCCCAATACAGGAGCAAGTAATGAAAGATTTATCAAAGAAAATGAATTAAAATTTGCGATGAATTTTTACGAAATTTAATCTTTTTAAGATAAAGTTTTAATGAACGACAGGTTCAGTCCCGAAAAATACACTATTGATAGAAAATTGACGTTTCTGTAGATTTCTTGGATTTGAGACGATCAGGAATCGGACGGGGCTGAACTGTTAAGTTCAGCTAGCAAGAACAGTTGAAACTGCTGACGAAATGTGGCAGAGAGGGACAATCAAGACAAGCAGCAAACGAGCAGAATTTCATGCCAGGTCTGATGGAACGCCACGGTCAGCATTTTGAATTTTCAAAATTTAGACAAAAATTGTCCAGACAAACTTACGCGAGTGTCAGCCAGTGGCCTGTGTGTCGTCTGTAGTGTCACAGGTCTGCCGTGTGGTGCTGTCTGGTGCACAGCGCGGCCCCACGGCCCCGCCGCTCCGCGCCTGTTCTCTGTCTGAAAGCGCGCGGGGCCGACCGCGCGCGAGGGGAGGGACGGCGCACGCGCAGCCGCCGACCTCGCCGGACGCGCCACCTGCCCCACCCGAGGCTGAATTGGGGGCTATAAAAGCCGCCGCGCGCGTGGCGCCAGCCCCAGTTGCCGCCCGACGGTCCCGGTAAGAGCGCGTGTGGAGAGACGGTCGGTAGTATCGGTTTGTTTGTTGGGTGGCCTCAAGGCCCTATATACCTCAATTGAGGGTGGCCTCAATGATTAGGGTATTCGGGTGTCATGCCAGGCTGCCTTAACTTCAGGATAGTTTGGTGCGCTACTTGCCCTGTCTTTTCTGAACGTCAGCGAGGCCTGCTTGTAAATGTGTGTCCCATGATGTTATCCTCGTATCGAGGATACCCTGACTGATTTTTGACGTGTCCCTTAATACGTTTCAGCTTCGTTTCAAAAGTGAAGAGGTTTATTGGTTCCTGGCTTCACAGACGTAACCATTCTGGAAAAAGAAAACTGATGTTGGTTGAGTTGAATGCTCTCACAGTTTCGGATTTTTACACATGGCAAATATTCTGCATTGGATCGTAGAAAAGTAAAAAGGAATGCGATAGCCGAGGGCCTTCATCGAAACACTGGGACCAACTGCGAATTTTGGCTGACAGAACATTGGCAGTGGTCCAGTGCCACAGCTTCGCGAATATAAGGGTAATATTCGCTATTATATTATACAAGTTATTTTATAGGTAATTAAATAACTTGTCATTTATGAAACCATAACCCAAATACGAAACGATGAACCGTTGACAAGACATTGAACAACGAATGATAAATGCAGTTATTTTTACGACGGACATACCCCCAATATTAACCAGTAATGTTATAATGTCAAATTTATGCCAAATTATGCCAAATTTATGTCAAATAATGTCAAATTTATTGTAATTATGTCAAATTTCTTATTGCACATATTCAAAAACTTATGGCATTTCTATGCTAATAAGTGACTAGCTAGCTCGGGGTCGCTGCCAGCAAACGGACCACTTTGTGTTGTCGCAGCGCCGCGGCTTAACAAAAGCTAATGACAAATTTATTATCCGGATGTTTTTTTTTTAAATATGGCCAATAAATATGATACCAACGATCAATACTGGCACATGCTTGCAACAGTCAGTCCGTCCACAACGTAGAGACAAACTTTCAGACAAAAGATGAAAATGAAACGAAGAAAAATGACCAGAAGAAAACAAAAAATAGTGTTCTAAGCAGTAGTTTCAGACAAAAGATGAAAATGAAACGAACAAAAAAATGACCAGAAGAAAACAAAAACTAGCCTTATAAGCAGTACCTAATGCCTTTAGTCAAAACGGGAGAGGGAATATAAATTATCTCCGACGGAGGTTCTAGCCAGCCCGATTCAGATGAGGGAGTGATGCCGTTCCTTTGTCATGATGGATTGGTAACGTCTGCAGAAGCCTGCAGAATTAGACAGGATTCCTAGACTTTGTGGCATATTTTCTTTAGAAAGTGTTGAGATGACGAAAGAGCTATAAAAGGCGATGAAAGGTCGTGACGACAACAATGAAAAACAAGAATCAAATCAAAACTAAAAAGCAGCCCGATAGAAAGGTAAACATGATGCACATTGCGCACGTACCGAAACACGTACTGCAAACACAGCGTAGAGGATGCTAGATGGAAAAGGGGGTGCTTGGAGATCGGGAATGCGTCAACAAAGGGCTGGGTCGGTGACAATGGGACAAGCAGCCTGCGATTGTACAATCAATTTAGTTTGCCCGTGCAAGTATCCCAACGATGATTGCATTTCCACGTCACACACAGCTCCGACATATGAACGTGTTTTTTTATTGCCTTTTACGAAAATATTTTATTCGACCCATGCTGATGATGCTACTCGATTGAACAACACAAAATACGGCTTTGACTCAATTAACCGGAAATCGAATGGCGCGTATTGAAGGTTGAAGAGCCCGTTTGTAGCGCTACCTAGGATAGTTTCGATTACTATTTCATCACTTCCACATCTGATAATCACAAAAAGTAAACATCTCTTGCAACTCAGACGAAAAACAGCCGGCCCAGTTCGCCTTGGAAAAGTTGCACAAGACAGCGCCGCCAGTCAACAGCATACCAGCGGAGCCAGTGCCTCGCCATCACCCAGCTAGCATAAACAAACGGAGCAGAGGGCCAGCGACGCTGACATAAACACAGACGGCGACTGTCCGACGGGGCCGGCCGCCGCCGACCGCCGCGGGCGGACCCCAGGGCCATTACACTGCCCCTCGCCACAGCCACCGCCGCCGCCGCCGCCGCCGCCGCCTCGCCGGCCGCCCGGTATCGACTGCAGGCGAGCGGCGCGCCGGCCGCCGGGCGGCGCGGCGTGGGTCCAAGGACAGTCTTTGTTCACAGGCGAGTCCCGTCACCGACACACACGGCGGTATCTGCGACCGAGGACGCCTGCACCATGGAGGCCTGCCGGCGGAGGGGCAGCTGGGACGGCGGCTCTTACCGCCTCCGGCGCCGCGCTGGCGCCACGGCCGGCTTTTTGAAAGCGAGGGCGGCGCGGCGCCAGGTTTTTGTCGCCTCTCCCCTCCCTCCTTACCGCTGGGTCAAAATGGAGGCATGGCCCGGCCGTGACCCGCCCGGCGCCCGTCCCGAGAAAAACACGCAGGTAGTGTCAGTGATGTTTTTCTGTGAGGTGAAACGGCGCCGAACCCTCCCCTCCCCCTCCCCAACAGCTGGGGTCGGCGGCTGATCGGGTAGCAGCGATTTTGAGGAGACAGGATAGGTGGGAAATGGTATGCGAGGAGGAACCGGTGTGTGTGTGTGTGTGTGTGTGATGGAGAGGGAGGCGTCGGTAGGAAGTGGGCAGAGTATCCGGTATGCCGGTGGGGAGGAGAGGGATCAGAATAAGTCACGTGATATGGGATTGAATCAGTACCTAAACGGGAACTGAGTTTTACCAAAAAAAGCCATATATAATTGATATTTAGGACCAAAACCGCAGATGCCGTTCAGCCGATCAGGCGCAGTTCCACTGCCCTATTAGTGGCAGGGGGGGGGTTGTTTTTATCCACCCCTCAGGTTTTTCGGGAATATCTCCGAAACCGCTGAAGCTACGATGCTGAAATTTTCTGACTTTTCCTAAAACTAAATTGGGCTTATTCCCTGAAAATTTCAAGTTCATAACTTTACCAGGGGCGGCTCCAGAGCACTGGGAATTGGGGGTCCTATTCGTGAAGCGAGTCATTTGGGCGAAGATCACGATGCTGCACCAGTTTTACGAACAGTGAATGAAAGGTATCATGTGATAACATATACAGTTATTGTGCATCCTCTTTTGACACGTTTTTGCTATAATAGGCGGATCCAGGCGTCCAAAAAGGGGGGTTATGTTTTACCTCCCAACATAGGTGCCCTGACACCGCCTATGCATGACCAATACAATTGTAGTCGTTCTCTCATAAGAAAATTGTAACATAACAAGACCATTACCACCCTTTTTAGAAACAGTACCAACAAAAACCTTATTTACTATACTTTTTGTGTACCCCCAATCTCAATGATCTGTATCCGCCTATGATTTTTGAAAATGCATATTTTTAGGATCCATGTGAATTCCTGGTTCATTCTCTATCGATCGGCAAAAGTTGCGTTAGGATTGGTTCAGAAACCTGGCCGTGATAAACAGTCTAAAATGTATCTGCAATTTGCCCGTTTTTACCCCCCTCTACCCCCCCTGTTGACATTTTTAATTTTTATTTTTTAGAAATGTAGATCACGTTGAGCGAAATCGAATGCCGTTTGAATTTTGAAAATCGGCCCGTTAGATCTCGAGATATCAAGGGGGGGTCGTAAACAGCCCCCCCCCCCCCTGCCACTAATAGGGGTATACCAAGAGCCTGCCACCAATAGGGTTAAGTGCATTTCAGGACGCATGAGTAAACATATAAATTGATTATTATAATTATAATTGATATAATTGATTATAATTGATTATTATATTATAATTATATATTATAATTGATTATAGATGCCTACTAAAGACAAGGGCGTTTACCATCAGGCGGTCAGGTGTTTGTCAGAAAGGAGGAACATCATTGGCTCAATTCAGCACGAAAAAGAGATACGCGATTAAAGTACTTTTTTCAAAACCGATTGGGCTTCAAGTACGTTTTTCGACTAAGCACGCGTTTTTGCCAGTGAAACGCCCCAAAAGCTGAACTTGAGAAAATCGAAAGTCGCCTTATTTTAACCTGATTTTAACATGTGAATTATTCCTGATACATTCCATAAGTGCTTTTTAGAACTAGACATTAGGACAGTGGTGATGTCATTCTGTGGAACGTGCATTGCAAATTGCAATGTAATGTATACCTACCATGGACAGAACCGTCTACTGGATTCTGACCTTGGTAAAAGACTGGATTCTGACCTTGGTAAAAGTGAAAACGAAGTTTTCCTAAAAATTCGTCGACACTTAGTGCCACGTACGGACATTAGGTGCCAGCTGCCACAAGTGACGTCATCATAGAATGATCGTTTTTGAAGATACAATTTCCATGTATTTACCGAGCATAATTTGAAAGTGAATATATAAGGGGTAAAAAAATATTGGCCAGACGCTGACGCTGTCAAAACTCACGTGAGACCTTCGATAATGAACTCGGAGCCAAACCAGTCTTGAAGAAATTAACGTAAGAAGTTAAGAGGGTAAAATGAATGCGTGAGAACTTTTTCGAGAAAAAAGTAACCGTAATCGTAAGTAATCGGGAAAAAGAAGTAAAGGCCGAGCTACACTATGCGTGATCGTCCAGGAACTTACGTGCGTGATCTGCGAGTTTGCGGGTTTTGCAGAAAATCGGTACGCTGATGAAGTTCAGCTGATAGGAAGTACACAGGGTCGGCTACACTGGGGTCACGCAGATTCAGTCAAGGAAATCCCGGACGTTCAGTACAGGAAATGCCGGATAGTCAGGACGGTCAGGACGTTCCGTACCGATA